AAGTAGCTGGGACCACAGGCGCCCGCCACAATGCCCGGCTATTTTTTGGTTGCAGCCGTCATTGTTGTTTGGCGGGCCCAGGCTGGATTCGAACCCGCCATCTTGGGTGTACGTGGCTGGCGCCTTAGCCACTTGAGCCATAGGCGCCAAGCCTATTTTGTTATTTCTTTAAAATCTCAGACAAGAAGAGAAAGAGCAGGATTTAATCCATAGCCACAAATTTTTACTCTATTTGTGTTACCTCTGTAGTTTTATATTTTTATTTATTTAGTCTTTTTAAGAGATAGAGTCTCACTTTGTTGCCCTTGGTAGAGTGCTGTAGCGTCACAGCTCACAGCAACCTCCGGCTCTTGGGCTTAGGCAATTCTCTTGCCTCACCTCCCAAGTAGCTGGGACTACAGGCACCTGCCATAACTCCCGGCTATTTTATTTAGTTGCAGTTTGGCCGGGGCCTGGTTTGAACTCACCATCCTCAGTATATGGGGCCAGCACCCTACTCACTGAGGCACAGGCGCCACCCTACCTATAGTTTTAATTTTGTCTGGAAGTTGTTACAAAGGTTGATTTTAGAGATTGATTAATAGAAAATATTGATGTTCCTCACTAAAACACCCCCACTTGTTGAAATGTTGTTGTTTAGACCCCCTAAGTCAGGGGTTCTCAAACTTTTTAAACAGGGGACCAGTTCACTGTCTCTCAGATCCTTGGAGGGCCGGACTGCCGGCCCAGGTCGGCGGCTAAGCAGGACAGGCAGCAGCGGCCCAATGGGCCAGATAAATGTTCTAGGCGGGCTGCAGTTTGAGGACGCCTGCCCAAGCCATACAAGTTAGCAACATTGATTGGTAGAAATAATGTACCTACTGCAGATTGAGTAAATAATGGCTTTTTAAAAACCCACGAAAAAGTAAAAGCAACCTTTTAAGAGCTGAACTTACTAACCTTCCTTTTTCTCACACCATTTACCTTTTTAAAAAAATTTAAGTGATCAAATAGGCGAAGATTTATTTAATGCCCTGAGGAGACCAGTAAGATGGTAAAACTGATTCCAAGAGTGTTTGAGGAATTACTCTGTGTATGTGTATGGGTGCGTGCAAGTGCACATATAAAGACCAAAGAGAATTAAAGATTGTCAGGTTAGATTTCAACAAACTGATTATTAAAAAAAACAAACCATAATCTTTGGGGTTATCTTTTCTATTTGACATAAATCTGCAAGTGAATATGTAACTCCACAGTATCTGGGCTTTCATCAAATAATAAATAGCATAGTATGGTCGCTTAGAGAATTACATAATTTTTAGGCAGACATGTTAAAATTGTCCGGGTATGAATTAAAAGGACACTCCCAACTTCTGCCTTATTTCTAAATCTCAGATAATTTTTCTTTTTTTGTTGAGACTGAGTCAGCCTAGCTCATAGCAACCTCAAATTCCTGGGTTCTTCAAGTGATCCTCCTGCCTCAGCCTCCTGGAGTAGCTGAGACTATAGGCACCTGCCACAATAGCTAGCTACTTTTTCTATTTTTGGTAGAGAC